TTCTGAAGTCTGATACACAAGAGTTCAAGTTTCTAATTTCCTGTGAGCTGTGAAAAAAAAAGAGCCTAAAAAAAATTGTGAAGAGAGCCCAAATGTGAGCATTCATTATTTCTGAATTACCAGGGAGCTGGTGGTCAGAAACATGGTATTAGCCCATGCTACAGAGTATTATGGCCTCAATATAGCTTCCTCTCCTGGAAAGGATCAGAGCAAGTGATTTGCATACCAGGTAGTATTTACCAAATATACTATCCCATTTTGGCAATTTAAATGTAATAACTATTATATCCAGAAGATAGCCTATAGTCAGTAATTTTCCCCTGATTTCATAGGGCTAGCTGATTTTTTTTTTTTAAGTATCTTTCCAAAATAATTTCACAGTACAAATTGAATAATTTAGGAAGAAGTGATCCTTTCCATCAGCACTACCTCAGATCATTTAGCAGAAATATCCTTTCATCTCCACAGGAGCTGGACAGGGAGGTAGAAGGGGATGCCTAGGCTTTTGTGGTCAGTATGGTAGTCACTGCTGCTCTAACTTCCCAAGAAGACCAGTTATGATGATGACTGGTAGCTCTGCTGTGCTGGACATTCCCAGATTTGTTACACTTTTTGTCTGAAGCTTGGGAGCAGCAGCCTTTTGTACTTTTTCAGAGTGAGGGGAGCCAGGATTTACTGATGGGAAAAGAGTTGCTCCAGGCCAGAGAGCAAATGTTAGCATTGCCTGTGTTGCCTCTGTCCCAGTCTGTTTTTACTCACAGACTCTATGCCTATCCCCTGCTGCAGAGTGCAATCAGTCCCAAGGCTGGAGTTTGGCCAGAAGACCATGGCTAACACTCCCACCCCATTTTTTATGCAAACTTGATTTATGACTTTGATCTGATCTTAAATAATTTAAAAATTAAATAATTTATACTGTATCTGTCACTTTCCAAGGCTTTTTCCTTTGTTCTTGCTTTGCTCTTCTGCATTTTCCCATCTCCCTAAGCCTTTTTTGATCTGTGCACGTTTCCTTTCTGCATGGTGGGGCATCACTGACATGAAACAGCTCCTAACTACCCCTTGACACTTTCTGCACAGAAAGACCTACAGGAATTTTTGCCATTGTTGTTTGTTTGGGCCAGGACTGTACTACCACTGTTCACAGTCTGTTTTGATTTTCACTGCTTGTGATTTTGGGCTTGGCCATCCCACCTCTCACCAAGATGTAAGAAGGTGTGCTGTGCTCCTCTGAGGTGGAGTGTGTCCCTGCAGGTTCATTCCTGACTTGCAGCAAACCAAGGCAGTGCCAGCCAGCCTCACTCTCCTTCTCTCCATACTGAGTTCAGATCTATGCCTCAATCTGGCCTTAACTTAGACTGCAGAAACAGCTATCAATACCCAGCTGGTGTATATCCATAGTAACCTGACACCAAAAAGGGCTGATGCCCTGTACATGTGTGAAATAAAATAAATAATTGCCCCATAAAGGGGGAAATTAAACGAGTATGGGAAGATATTGTTGAAAAGAAAAACCCTAAAACAATGAAAAAAAAAAAAAAAAACAAACCCAAATACACCAAAACAAACACACAAAAAGAACAAACCACCAAACCCTGAAACAAATTAGTGTAGGGCCTCTGGGAGCTTTAGGAAGCCATGAAATCTGACTTGCCTTGAGCTGCATACAAAAGAGGTGAGGTGAATCTGATGTGACTTTCTGTGTCACTGAAACAGCACACAGGGCTGGTGCCAAGCTTTGTCTGGTCTGCTTGCAGGTGGCACACGAGGAGGGGATGAAAAACCACATACAGTGGAGAAGTCCCTTTGCTTCCTCATATTTTTTACCTCTGGGTCTGAGGCCATATGGCTGCTGAACCCGAGGACTGGTTGCTTGGCTGATGTGAGGCTGTCACTGCTATCAAGGTTAAAGTGGTTTAAGCTGAGGCTGAGTGGGTTGGCAGCGTGCAGCAGCAGCAGGGAGTGAACTGTGGCATAGCCAGTTGCTGAGCTGTAAAGGAGATAACTCAGAGAGAAGCTGGGGCCCAAATCAGTCCTGGTGGCAACACTGAAGGCTGTCAGTCAAACACTGATGGACTGAGACCCTCGCTGCCTCTCCTCAGTGGTGCTGCTGGGTTTGGAAACCCGCAGGTGCCCATCAATCTGCCATGTGGGTTTCTGATGCACTGGCCACCTTGATGAATTGAGACCTTTTTGCAGGAGCTAATCCAGTCACTGTGACATGCAAGATGCTTCTCTGGGGGAAAAACAGCAAGAAACTGCAGCCTATGGGACTTGGACAATGTCCTCTATGGGGACAGACCATTAGAAACTACTGATAATCTACTGTCATGGGATTGCTTGGGAACTCTTGGAGACATGAGTCAGGTGAGTAGGGGGAAAGCTGGGAGTACAGGCTACAAGTATGAATTAGAGAGCCTAATGACTCCTGCTTGTTCTGACCTTACTACCAAGCACTGAGGCCGTTCTTGCACTTGTGTTACTGCCCTACCACTGCCTGAAAACTCACGGAGGGACAGCACAAGAGAGAGCCGTGTCCTTGAGGGAGAAGAGAAAATAAATAAATGTGATCATCAGCTTTATTAGTACATGGGGAAACAAGACCAGGAGGTCAAACAATTCACCCAGTGTCACAGGAGTTGCTGGTGGCTGTGGCATCACCCATCATGACAGTCCTGATCCTGATGTTTCATCTTCCCTCCTCTTGACTTGCATTAGCTCTTTGACTCCATTTTGGGCTGAATAAAACTGCTCTCTCCCTTTCCCTCTTCCTTATCAATCCCTCCATCTCCTGCTGGCATTTGTGAGGTGCCAATCACCTTGATATATAAGAGCCAGCGGTCCGAGGTGGATTAATCAGGACCTAGGGAATGCCACAGAGCCTCGACGCTCCCTTCCTTCCCTTTTATGTTAGATTGTGAGATGAAACAGATAGGGAGGCTGATTGAGAGACAGCATCTGAGCACGCTCTGGGTGTACAGGCACCAAACAGAAATGTGATCCCATCATTTAGACAGCTCTGAACTCCCCAGGGTAATTGGTGTCACCAGCTTGTCATATCCAATGGGTCAAGATCTAAAACTTATTCTTTCCCCATTATTAGCATATTTATCAGGAAAAAAAAAAAAAGAGTATGGGTCCAATTCTGCTTTAACAGAAATCAATATGAAAAATGTTCTTTTTTTTTCAGGTGGTGGGAGCAGACCAGGAATTTTTTTCACTCTTCCTTCAGCCATAAATCCTTGCCTACTGTCATAATGCACCTGTATTATCTGGTGAGAAATGGAGGAGAGTTTTGTCATGTAAAGGAGCAGGCTTGCATCCTCTCACATCAGGATTAACCTAGGCTGGAAATTAGGATACTTATTCTTGATTAAAAATAATGCAAGAAGAGTTTTTGGACCAGAGTATCAGGACAGTGGTGTCTTTACCATCTCTCCAGCTGCCTGATCAGTGCCTGTAGAGTAACACTGAAGCCACATCTCCTGCCTGACAACCTCTGCAAGTGTTCATCTCAAACTGCTCATGGGTTGCCTCCTGTTAATCCCTGTGGTATGTGGGGGCAAAGATCCTGCATCCCTCTGCCAGGCTGCTGGCTGCTGACCTGGGCTCAGATGGGATTTACTGTCTCTTTTCCAATTCCTGCAGTCCTGCCTGGCCAGGAGGACAGTTAAACACAGACAGGCTGGGGAGGGAACAGTTCTTCTGTCATGTGAGGAAGGGAGCAGAGGACAAAGGAAGAGACAGAGATTGACTGGAATAAAAACGGAGACAGAAAAAAAGAAGTAAACCCAGAATTTTTCTAGAGAAGAATGACTAAAAAAGTCCAGAACAGCACCAAGAGGTGAACCTGGGAGGAGAGGGGGAACTTCTGTGGAGCTCTACAGCACATCCTCACAACTCTGCATGGCTCACACAAGGGTTGTACCAAGTGTTCATTGAGGTTCAGGACACTCAGAGAAGGACAGATCTTCAAGTTAAGAAGACACCATGGGCATGTGATGGGAAATACACAGTGCCAACAAATGAGAAAGAAACAGTCAGGGAAGAAAGCAAAGCCCAGTGTACTGGAGGGACTATGGGTCCATCAGAGTGTGATTCCTGAGCTGGCCCTGTAAACCTCAGGCAAGGCATTTGATCTCTCGTTCAGGAATATGTTACTCTGGAAAATGGTACCTCCCTCCCATACACAAACCTTGCAGAGTACAAGAGGGTCACATTTTGTCACCAAATAGATTAAGCACCCAGACACACTGCCTGCACATGCACTCTAGAGAAGGCAACAAAGTCATTGGTCAGTATGGTGTCTCTTGTGTCCGCCTGCTGCAGGCATCACCTCTACCTGCCTCTGAAATACCTGGCAGAGAGTCCAAATTATGTGAACCCAATCTTGCCTTGCAGGTCCTTGTTAATTGTAGCCTAAGAAAAAGTAATAATGCCAGAGATTTCCATTTCAGTGCACCATCAAAAGCCCAGCTCCCTGTACAGTCACATTTTCGCAGTGTCCAGGTTTGGTATGTACATAAGGTACCTGAAGCAAGTGCAAGAGGACTTTCTCTCAGTGTGCTTGTATCATACTGTTTTGGGGAGTCAGAACTGTACATGTGCATATCTGCTTGTCCATTTTGTTATTATCTAGCATGCTTTCATGAACATAAAATTATTTCTGTCAACAGCAGCCATTTTATCCTGTGGTCACTCCAAGGTGCCCACAACAATTCATGGTGCAAGAGGGGCATGATGACATGAGGCAGAGAATTAGGACAAGCTGAATTCAGGCTCATTTTAACCAAATCCTCAAAGGCTTGTTGTGCTTTTATTTGACAGCAATGGCTTAGACCCCACAGGAAGTGTTTTGCATGGGTGCGCACATGATCACAGTGTGGTCACTGCTAGAACTGGCTACTGCACCCCTGAGACTTGCCTGTGAGATTCCCCTGTCTACCCTGGATATTATTCCCAATTCCACGAACATGCATAGAGCCGGTGTCTATACTTACTGCCTGTGCATAGGCGCCATAAGCCCCAAACTGGATGGCCATGGGGTTGAACATGCCCATTTGTCCTGCCATTTGCTGCATGCGCCTCATTGTACGCTCCTTGTCCGTGTCTGCAAACTTCACCACCAGGCTTGAAGAGGCTCCCTGTAGAACAGGAAATAAAAGGACACAGAAGAGGGGGTGAGCTAGATACACACTTGCTCACCAATCCATACATGTAACACAGACTTGGTACAACAAAATTCTGCTGGAGTTGATTTTTTTTCCATGCAAAATATCAGGGTTTTGAATTTGACCCTTGCAAGGGGCTGAGAGCATCAGGAATGAAGTAAGGGACCCAGGAGGGTGAATGACAGTGGCCTGGTTCCTAGTTTCCCCCACATTCAAGCTCCTAGCCTGTCATTCATGTTCCCTCTGCAAAAGTTTTTGCTTTATTCTTTCAACCTTCAGGGCCAACAGGTTGTCCTTGTCAGAGGACAAATCTGGACTCAGTGCAGCAAAATGTAAGAGGCTTTGCTGAATGACTGTGGTAGGATTCGTGGACCACTTTGTTTTGGAGGAACGTATGAGGTTTCTGCATTCTAGACACCTGAACTGGATCACCCTTTCACGCTGCTGTCTTGTAACCCACGGTGAGAAATCCCTGCCCAGCCTTGGAGATAAGTCAGTATTGTATGCTGGGCAGAGTGTATGTATCATCATGAAACAACATCTCTTCTGCACTCTTAAATTATGGGAGTAAAAATAGTACCTGATGGATCTGAATTTCTCCTCCATGAATAGTAGAAAATAGAGACTACCACAAAAAACCCACATTTCAAGTTACAGATCTCTAGGAAAGATTTACAATATTAGGATTTTGTCTGCAGTCAACACCAGTGCAGAGCTACAGATGATCATCAGAACTGCCTGCAGAAAACTGTGAAAAATGTAGTGCTTTTGGGAATGAAAGAAATCCCTCTCCTTCCCAAAATGAGATGAAAGGTCAGTAGCTGCAATCCTTAGATAGGAAGCCGAGATGGGAAGAAACAGATCTACTTAGGAAGGAAGGCACTGGTACTTTTTTGTCTGGCTCCAAGGAAGTCCCAACTTTATGGGTTGGTTGACTCCCCACTGAGTGTCTCTCCCTGGGGATGGAGGAGATGCAGAGAGGGAAGAATCTGGCCACTGCCCTGGCAGCAGGGGACAGTTGCCTCAGGAGCTGGGCTGCCACCAAGCCTGGGGAGAACAGGTGAGCTGTCAGGAGACCGACAAAGGGCAGCTACAATCAGTGTGCTCCCATGGTACACTTCCCTTTTGACAAACTGGTATGCACTGATGGAAATACAGTCAGCAGGAAATTACCAGCTCAGCCTCTGGCTGTGGCAGTAGAGGAAGAGCAACTCCACACCAGAGGAGCTGAGCTACTTCAGAACCCTCTTCTTTCTAACAGAGGTGGATTTTCTCAGATTGCACAGGAACAATATTATAAACTGGCTTGCACACACCCCTATGTAACTGCAAACAGAAAAATTAGTCTCGGTGAAAGCAGAGTTGCTCTGCTACAAACTGGGAAGAGTGTAGTAAACCAGAGCTATGGATGTACATATATATAAGTCTAAGCTATACATATTCAACAGCCTCTCCAGATCCTCGGTTATGAATAAAGACTTGAGGAATTAACTTGCTAAAAAAAGACCCCAGCAATCTAAGGCCATACAATGAGCGATGTTCCCCCGGATTAGCAGTCTGTTCTGGGAGAAAGTGATTTTCATTGGTAAAGAATCTTTCTTTTTGACCTGTTAGTCTCTCTCTAATAAATCTATAACCTGCTAACACAATGTGGTGAAGAGCAAGGTTTTGAAAGAAGTGCTTCAGGAAAACAAAGGGACGGAGAGATGAATGCTCCATTCAAGGATAGAGAGCAATCTTCAGAAGTTATTAAAAAATCAAAACAGAAGGGGGAGTGGAAGGGGGAGAGGAAAAAAAACCTAGGCAAAATTCCCCTGCATTTCTGTTGAAGGCTAGGTGACTTTTCTCTCTTTTTTTTTTTTTTTTCTTTTTTACATCACATGATGTAGTTATTGATCCTTCCCCAAATCACACTCTTAATTGCAGCTCATCGACAAATGAATATTTTAATGCATACATTTCCTGCTAATTATCACCTGGACCAGTTCTTAATTAGATTTCAACACTCATTTAATTAACCCTGATCCAAGAGACTGTTTGGTAACTTGAATCTAATGATTTAAACCTATTTGCAGCTGTATTGGAGAGAGGCACTGGTCCACAGCAGATTGGGCTGTTTAGAGATGCTGTGATTTGCAGAGTAGAGGCTGCGGCACTGTGGGGACAATACAGGATTTTGAAACTGAATAAGGCACATGAGTATTCAGCTCTGCAAAGGGGTTTAGAAGATATGACCTGCTCTTATTAGAAGGACAGAGAAGTGTAAATAAGTTGGTGTCTTCTTCCTTCCTCTTTTATTTCTAACTCTATTTGCCCTGGAAGGCTTAGGGCCAGAGAACTGCCTCAGGCATTTGCTGATGCCTCACACTGTTGAAAACCAAGCTATTATTGTAGATGGCATCATGAAAACATGGGTAACCTCCACATGCAGTGCTTGCCCCTGGAGTGTTCTTCCCTCCTGATGTGAGTCACAGTGACTGCACAGCAGCTGTTTGACCCAATGGGATCTCGTATTGCCTCTTATGAGATGTTTTTCTGGGTTGCCTGTCGCAGCAGGACTTCAGGCCTCTTTGAACATCGCTATCACATACACAGAGCAGAAAGGCCACTGGCAAATAAATGCAAGCCAGAGCACACTCTACAAAGAAAGGAGAGAAAAAGAAGGGTTTTTTTTAAGAGCGATATGCAACAAGATGGGCATGTAAGTGGTTAGAGATGTGTAGCCAGTGGAGATGTTGCAATGTTCTTGAATATGAAAATTGACCTTGGGATTGATGCTTTCTGTGTGTGGTTTCCTCATGTGCAGCTCTTTCATGTGGCCCAAAGGAAATCAGGCAGTAAACTCTATCAGATCTGCCAGTACAGGACTTTTAGCAGTGGAGCCAAACACTGCTGTTCATCTACAGCAGAACAAGGCTACACCCTACTCCAGTGACTACTGCTCCACTGAATAACAACAGAAATGCCCCAGAATGGGTCAGATTTTCCACAGGGTAAAAACCCCAGAGCCCTTCATCTGGACTATTTATTGCTTCCGCAAGCAGCTAAATTGCGGTGTAAATCATCTGTTGTCTGCTGACAAAGGCAATAGGTCCTGTCTGCTCAGTCATTTATTAGTAATACATAATCTCCTTCTTGCTCTCTCTGGCTGTTGGACTGGACCTTATATTTTGCCAAACCCCAAGAGAGTTCCACTGGGTAAGTCAATAATGTTTGAAATGTACTTCTGCATTATAGTGAGGAAAAGACCTGTTTATTTTGCTACCCTGCAGACCCACAGTCAGAAATGACCGTCACGAAAGTGAGCATTGATGCTGGTGCCTCTGCAATGGGCTGCTTGGAATTGGCATTTATCTCCTTTTCCATCAAATCAACCTCCTTTTTCAAGTACTTTGATATCTACTGATGAAAAGAATAATGTAAGGTCTAAGTATTATTATGCTGTCCCTATTCTCTCTTGGGCAAGTAAGTCTACTTAATATGACTATCTTGCTTCCAGTCCCCCTCCCTCACATGGTAATGAATTGCTCCCCTTAGTCAGCAGAGTCAGATACTCTCTAGGCTGGTGGGGCGAGCGAAAAGATGGAGGAAAAATCACTCTGCGCCACACTCACTTTGTAATCCCTAATCAGAGTCCTCTGTGGGAAAAACTAATTTCCCAGCCTGTCTTGACGTGTGAAATAAAGTCATTCTTGAAAACAGGAGCTTGACAGGTCACTTGTGAAATTTCATATTCAGCTAAAAATAAAATATCCATCCATTGATATTTCATTTAAAGGCAAAGGAAAACAAATCCCTTGCCTGGCTGTTGGAACTGTTTCCCATTATACAAGGTCTTCCAAATGGAGTGCATACACAAATTAGGCAAAAGCTTTTCAGGAGGCCAAATATTACTGCACGGCATCAGGGAAAGTTGTTTCCCTCTAGAACAATATCCATAGGAAAAGTTTTGTGAAGGTGTTGCCTTGTAGAATATATGCCTGAATTTCCTTTTCCTGTCAGCCCTATAAGTCTCCTCTAACTCAGTAGCTTACCAATTCCCACAGATGGTTAGACACCTTTTTCTTGTAAAACTGATGAATCTGGACCTAATTTGTCAAAGTCTTTAAATCATGTTTCACTTTAAGCTTAGTGAATGACATATTGGAGGTAAGCATACACTTAAGTACTTTTTAACACTAGGTTGTCTCTCTCAGGCAGGTGGACCTTTATGTCTTGGTTAGCTCAAATAGAGCCAGTTAAAAGCTCTGGGCCAAAAATATTTTAAAAAGGTCTGTTACATTACAGTTATGGTGACTAAGCCCTTGAGTATAAGATATGTGAATGTGCAAATCCCGAAAACTACCTTCCAAAATGTCAGCTGTAGACACAAACTAAGATGCTTAAATGAATAGGTGCTGCCTTCCTAAGTGTCACCACATAAATGGGTTTTCTTGTGGTGGATATTTTGCTTTAGCACTCCCTTTGCTACTGCAAAGCAGAGCTGGGAGGATGCTGACCCTCAGCAAGACAATCAGGCCAGTATTACCACAAAAAGATCCTTGATGTTACGGCCTGAAAGCTAGAGGAAGATTTCTTTGCTGCTTTGGGCTCTGTCAGCTCAGGCTGTTTGGTATGTTGCCCCTAAGTTTGAAAACAAATCTGGAATTTTTTTTTTTGGGGGGGGGGGGGGGGGGGAAATGCCTGTGCAGCTTTACTGAAACTAAGTCTGCTGAATTAACCGTTGGGGTTTGACCCCAGCCTGGGATTTTAGATAAACAAAAAAGAAACTACTGTCCAATTAAAACCATAGAGCAGAGGGAATTTTAGCTAGGTAGAAATGTAATTACCCAGGCTGGAAGATGGCCAGAAGATCGGGACTTACATTCCTCCCATCTCTTGAAATATGTTGTTTTTCTGTACCCAGGGCTTCAATTTCATGTCTCATCTGAAAGATGAGTAGGACAGCAGTCCTACTCTGAGAGCTGGTTTAG